GGAGTGTACTCGGGGTGGTGGGGGGAGTGGAGGGGGAATGTATATCAATGAAAGAATCTTACTTTTCAGAGAGAGGAGCAAAGTGGGGGTGAGGGATGAGCAAGGAGAAAAATGCAACAATGAATTAATGGAAACCCAAAATTTCTGTAAGTGTTCATTAAAATTAATAATTTAAAAAAAACCCCACACAAAACAAACACCTCTGCACCTTTTTAAAGCAGTGATAGGGGACTGGGGGGAGGGTGGGTATGGAACAAGCAGCCTAGTCAAGAGACTTGATCCTACTTACGGTGCTTCTACCTTCCCATGGCACAGTCCACAGGGAGTTGTGCTGCTAACCCAAAGACAACACTGGGTTCAAATCCACCAGCAGCTCCTCAGAAATTTTATTTCTACAAATTCTCTTTGTTAAAAGTTTTCAAGGTTTCTTTGGATCTCAGACAAAAATGAAATACACTTGCAAGCAAAAGATTAAATGTGAAATATTCCCTAGCACTTTTCAAATCCGTGGGGTTGGGGGCCAGAAGGAGGAGATTAAAAACCTACAAAATAAGAACTCATTTCCTTATTAGCTTAAGATACAGTTCTGTGAAAAAATGTAACAAGCACCATGTCAGTCACTCAAAACATACACTAGTGCAATAGAAAAATATAAAGTGTTCATCTACCTTGGTCTGCTACCAGGGCCTTGAGTTCTGCCAACAAGTATTTTATAGTTCTCACTTTTTCAGTAGTCAAGTTCACATTTTTTGTCTTCTGAGCGTCCTTGGTGTTTCTTGCCTCTTGCACACGCACATTTAAATCCCTTCCGTCACTTGTGGTTTCTCCATGGTATCCATTAGAGCCCAAGAAAGCTGGCTGTGATGCACTGGGACTATGGTGTGTCTGACTGTCTGAAAGAGCTTCTTTTCCATGGGAATGTAACAGAGACATACATGTCTGAAAACGTTTTATTAGGTCTGCTTCCTTAGAAACTGCTTGTGATGGCAGATTTCCATTAGCAAGGTCCAATGCCGGGATAGCTGATTTATCAGTTTTGGGCAGGCTGCATGGAACCTGGGCATTGGTATTAAAGGAATTCCTGGGGACATTCGTAGAGTTCACAGAAAATGTTTTACCTTCTGATGTAAATCGGCTGTCACTATCTTTCTGAACATCCTAATGGAAGAAAATAAATAAATCAACCAAGCACTGACCTGCAGGCATTGATAAGAATAAACTCAAGCTACATATACTGGGAAATGACTTTTTGAATGATAGTGTTCAAATAACCAATGAGTAAACTAGATTTTTTTTTCATCAGTAAAATAAAGATTCTAGTTTTTTAAAGTTTAAGTAGTTCACTCTGCAATCAATATAGATAACATTATAAGACTGTCCCTAACATCGTTTGTAAATACTACAAGTGGTTTCAAGGCATCAAAAATGAGTTGTAGTCAATATTTCCACTTTGGAAGATTACAAGAAAGTAAGCTCAAACACATAATAAGCTTCTGGATAAATATGCTCACAGAAATTTTACTGTCATGAAAACCTGGCCGTTACCTAAAAGTTAAGCATTTGGGGAATACTTCCAGTAGTCTATGGCACAGTCACTGAATACAGTAATAACCACTCATTAAGCATTTATAAAAAGGTATTTTTAATAGAGGAACATGCTTATAACAAAATGTTAAGTGACCCCCCCAAGAAAAGCAGAATATAAAACAAACTAACAAGCAAAACTTAACCATAAATGCATTTTTAAAAGAAAGGAAACTTTCTTTTTTAAAATGGCAACCACCAAAACCAGAAAATAAAACTTCAAGAAATTGAAATGATTAAAAAGCACTCCTCCACTGTACTAAGAAAAACTGTCCTTGGACAATAGTAAAAATGTCTTTCTATTACTGTTCTCCACTTCTGCCTCCCCACACTTCCCATGCCTCTTCCTGTTTTCTACCCTACTACTGTTATTATTGCATGATGTCCCTCTCCAAGGACCCGTCCCTCCTGGCAACATGTCCAAAGTATGTCAGACGAAGCCCCAGAATCCTTGCCTCCAAGGAGCAGCT